TTGCCCATACGAAATCATGCAATCCTAAAATATAAGAAAACCAACCTTAGTGTCTCTCTTTTAGAAAGAAAGTCACTTGTATCAAAATTTTCCAGTTCGTCATTCCACACTTTCACAGCCACTTGTAAGGGTTCATCTTTACCTCGCTGCTTAAACGCCCCTCGATGGATCGTGGTAAATGCGTCACTACCGGGAAGTGAAATTTGATCGTCTGTCAATTCTAGATCGTCGCAACTGCTGTCCATGATGGATACTTCTTGGATGCCGAAAACGGCAAGTTTGTCCCTGAAATGTACACTCCTGTTATGCTGTTATTCCCTGTGAGCTGTTATCATCCGTCAATTTTCGGCACAACATTCTGTCAGCCTTGATAAGCTCGGGAATGCAAGCTACAACCTGCTCGAGGTACACTTGAGCCTCAGTAAGCTGCTCCACCACTAAAGACCTCAGATTCTGTTCTTTAGCCGTTTCAAGCAGGTATTCTAGAGAGACTTTTGCCATGAAGCCACACTTGTCTTTTTCGTACTTTCCTGTCTTATTCCAATTTCCTAACTTTTCTTTCATAGCCACAACCCCGACAACTGGAACGCTTAATAAAAAAGCAACAACGCCAATTGGAACCCAAATAGGACTTGTGACCCATTACTACTTTGCTGGCCAAGGAAAATTTTTCTGAAGGCGAGGAGTCATTTGATAGAACAGGCACATCATCTGCTATGACGAAGCTCTCCTGGTTTTCAAGTTGACCCACGACATACCTGTATCGCTGTTGAGAGTGCTGGATTAGAGAGCTACGAACGCCAGAAAAGACATGTTCACGTTCCTCCCATGCAGTGCAATGAAGTCTTGAAGTCGCTTCGACAGTGCCTCGTAGATGTAGATTTTGGTCACCTCCCAACTCGCCATCGCTGGTAGAGTATCGTACGACGTCCACCAAGTGAAGCGCTGCACAGCATCTGAAGACGTAAGGTACTTGGACAGTGAGGTGACAGCGCTTTCTGTTTTGTTTTTGAGGTACTTATGTACCTCCTTTCCAACTGAGTTTTCCTTCTTCTCAATACCATGGAGGCGTTCAATTATTAAAATCATTCTGTCAATAACTTTCTGACGATCTTTGGACGAATTACTAATAAACGCTTTCGTGTGAAACACCACACGTCAAAGAAGGTAGTAGAGCCACCTTAAAAATCGAAAATAGATTACCTCACTTTGATAAAGACTAAAACAATGGATAGTGTCGAAGAAGCACTCTGATTGGGTTCTTTAACTCTGAATATCCTTGGCTATTCACCTCCGAGCTATTCACGGGTTTTACACTCCCGAAAATATTGTAATGTATATACGCTGTATTGTCTCAGTTTTGCGGCTCGGTAAATATCCACCCTCACATAGCCAACTTCATTTCGGTGACCAGTTGTTAGTATATTTTACTTGTCAATCAGTTATACCGCATTTAAGACGTGTCAAGAGGTGAAGGGAATTTTGCGGTTTTAATTGTGTCTATGTGTCTACAGACTTCATGAACACTTACTTCCACTGGATACACAGTCTTGCCTCGACAATTTTTAAGACCATGGACTTAATTCCATTCATCAGTGCAGTAAACTCGTCTGTAATAATTCCACGTGTTTGAGCTTTAATGGCAGTGGTTGAAGACATGTAAATGATCAGAGATTCTGGATTTACATAAGGCGAGCAGTGTTTAATTTTTCTGACTATGTGGTCCTTGATCCCANGATAGCGCAGTCGGGAGAAGATCTCTTTAAGGCGTTCACATTCCTCATGGAAAAACTTCCACTTAGACGAGAGTTGAAACGCACGGTTTAGCATGGTGATCAGCAGTGACCGTTTGTATCTGGCGTCAACGTGACTGTGATAGTGTAGCAAAAGCCCTTTGTTCGTCGATTTTCTGTAGACCATGGTGTCAAGGCGGCAACCATTCTTGATAACATCCATTCCGAGAAAGAAAAGCCTACCATTTTCTTGGAGTTCCTTTGTGAAATCAATAGAAGGATGAGACTTGTTCAATGTCTCCAGAAATCCTGAGGCTGCTTCCGGATCAGGCATTACACTACTGAAGTGTATCATCTACAAAGCGCTTGTAGAATATAGGCCTCTTGTTCTCTCTTTCTAGCTGTTTCTCAATTCTACACACGTAGGCGTTTACCATGAGGGGACCCAATGGCAAATGGCAGATAAAAGAGAAGTTACTTCAGTTTGACCTATTTTTATCTAGTTAGAGGAAGGTCGGATAAATCCAATTAGATAGTGGTAGAAAACGACCAAGAGTTGCTCAAATTGCTTTCAACATGTGTTTTGAACTTGTTTTTCAAAATTTGGTACTTTCTATGGGTTCAAGTGTTTTCAATTCGTGGCGCGATACTCCGAGAGTCATGGTATGAAATTTTGAGCTTCAAAAGCGGCATTTGGCGGAATGCAGTTATTATCGATTTTCTCGAAAATAAATCGATATTCAGCCAAACGAATTATACAGTGATTTACATCCTGGTGAGACCTACTTAGCTTTGAAATATGGGCAAAATCAATGTTTCAGCTGTTGCCACCAAAGGTTTGACCAGTGTAACATACGCTCTTATGCAGTTAAGTAAATATGAAATACCGCATGCGCATGTGATCAAAAGATAACGAAACGTTACAGGAAGGGCTCCTATTTACCTCCTACTCGCTTTTCTAGAAACTGCTCATTATACAAGATATTCAAAAGATGTATGCAACATGAGTACGTCGATAGACGTCGACGAAATCGACGATCTTGAGCACATGGTTAAGGTAATGCTGTCTCTAGGTATTTCGCTAATAGGGCTGCAGACATTGGACCAGATGAAACAGAGGGTGAAAAAGGCGCTCAGAATATCAGAGGAGGTAAGAATGCAAACATCCATGGCTACGTATCGATTCAACCTCAGCGTAGACCACCATCGCTTAACTGTCGCAGAATTATCAAATAATGGCCTCAAGAACTGGCCTAATGTTTCGAGAAACAACGTTATTCTCATCCGAATTAACGATTTGCTGTCTTGCCGCTGGCATTCTGAATGCTTTGGGGCTAAATTTGGTTTACCTTGAGACACCTTTACAGAAATTGATAGTGAAACTAATAGACACAGGTAACTTTGTTAGTTGTTGACTGGTTGTTAAACCAAACGTAATGTACAGCTGTATATCAGTTAGCACCTCTTGAAGCTCTTTATTTAATATTTATCACTTTTTTATTCCGAGCGCTTTTAATAAACGTTAATCACATTGCGAAATCACTTATGGGGGTAAAACTTGGTAATCTGTTCAGCACGGACATTCCCTAAATTGTATTCAGAGCTCGTGCCCGGCATACATAGCGAATATGTTTAGAATGTCAACCCTCAGTATTCTTTGTCCTTCCTCGTTAAATTTGTGAAGAACTCCCTAAACGAGAGCCATTTGGACTAGAGCTCAAACTCCGATTTAGAGTTACGATTGTAAAAGCTGTTGACAGATTATCAGGCTGTTCCCACCCGCATTATTTATCGCTGTGTATTGGCAGTTGCAGCTCTACTCTTACTAATGAATTCTTCTAATAGTTCCTCTCCTCTGATGGGAAGAACCTCGATGATCCTCTGGTGGAGGTTGATTTTCTATTAAAAGCTAATATCCCATCGACATTTTCTGTTAGCAAGGCGCTGATAAATCATCTTGCGTGACAAGTGGTGACAGTTTTCTTTCTGATTCGGTCCTTTTCTGTCGTAATGCAGATGTACCTTGGCTATAAAAATTTCACTTCTGCATGATAGGACTTCTTCGTATATTCACGTCGCAACTCGAAGTTCAACTTGAATTCCAAGTCGAAGTCGAACTCTCGATCGAAAATCGAAGATGTGACGAGAATAAAATATGCATGTAAGGAAAAGTGCTCGTTCCTACGTTAGCTTGATCGATTAAACACATCAAAATGAGCTGTTTTCAATGATACCACCACATGATGTTTATGTAATTTTAAGCGACCGACTTAGATATATATACATATAGACTGTGTAAATTGGTATACCTATTTTACGGCAATTCATTTCAATGGCTCTATTACACGAAACTTCATTATTATTGAACAAATTAGGTCTTTTGAAAATGCCGCAGACCTTGAACGATTATTACTCACAAGGGAGGCCTATTGGACCGCTCAGTTATTTACCCTTAATCCTCATGGTCTCAAAAAACGGCGGGAATCTAGATCCAAACACCGCATTACTGACTACAATTGAGCAGCTGCAATTTTCCCAAGATGACACTTTTCATTGTATTTTATTCCGTTATCGCTAATGATTAAGTTAGATTCTTCTTTTTGCCTTTTTATTGTTCTACTTTTCTCAGTTTGTAATTTAGACCTTTATTGTATTACGTTACCTCAATATTTCTGTATTGTATATAAGCCGCTCACAATCATTGTAAACCGCTTTTTAGTTCTTAACTTTTAACCTGAGGAAGGCCGAACGGCCGAAACGTCGTCCATTAAACTAATCCAGAACAGTCAAGTGAGAGTTGGTCTCTTCGTTACGTGAACCTTACTGTACACTTAACTGTTATACACAGAATCTACCTTTGCTCGTAAATTTTACTTTTTCCTTTGTTTACGTCGTAACTCGAAGTTCAATTCGAATCCCACGTCGAAGTCGAACTCTAACTCAGATCTACACTCGAGTATGTCAAACCTGTAGTAAACGTTACTGTATTAAGCGTTCACCTTGTATTTAGTGTTTGATCGTAAATTCCCGTTAATTTTGTAATGTTCACCTTTATATCGCGGAAACACGCGTGGTCACCATTGACTAAGTCCCAACGGCCTGTTTGAGTTGTTTTCCACCTGCATTGAACAGTCACTTAAAGCGAAGGATAATCTCTAAAGTTATCCTCCGAAATCAATGGTAACATTTTGAGTTCAAATGTCCGAAACGCATTGAAAATCTTCTTACTTCTTTGGACAGTTGGGACAAATAGTACGCACGAACATCACGCTAATCATTGTATACTGCATGTATTGGCTGGTCAACCTGTATTATGCAGTCAAACTGTATTCTACAGTCACCGCGCCATTACCCACGGGTGACCGCCAATACATGCAGGTTTGACCGTAGAATGAACTGTGCATGAAAGAAAGAGTTGATTCGAAGTTAGCCTGATCAAGTCAACACATCTAATTGGCCTTTTTACCAAAGAAACCACCACATTTAATTAATTTTTATCTGATTCTAAATGATCGACAAAGAACCTTATTAAGTTAAGCAAAATTAGATTTTATTGCCCTTGACAATATTTTTGTAAAGCAATGTAACCATTCCATGTTTCACTTATCAGGCCTTTTCAGTGTTGACAGAGACCAGTAAAGAAGTCAAGAGAAGACAAACACGCTTGCTAGAACTATTCGAGAGCACAGAGGCCTGTCTGAATATGTTGAGTGACAAGGACTACGCACTTCTGGAGCTGGGAGTCACAAATCTCATGAACCAATTGGCTGACCACAAACAGAGCCTAGAGAGAGAAGAAGACGTTGTTCTCATTGCAGGTTGGTTACTGAAGAAATGTTCGAGAGCTCATGATTAATTAGAAGGTAAAGCATGCGCGTGTAAATGTCGTAGCCAGCTAGGTCAAACAAGTTTACTGCCAGCTGCTGCATTCACTCCCAACCACCACCAACAGACTTTACACAGCTTTTTTCTGTACTCATAACTTAGAGGTTTGCTAAACCCACCTGGCAGACAGAAGAACTCTCAGACTGATTGCTAAAATCCGCCGACAAGTCAAATCCCTCAGCTGTGGCCATACCTTGCCAGAGTAACTGAGATGTATATTCACTTTTCCCGAACGATTAACACATTGATGTCGTTCGTTTGCAACGCAGACGCCATACTTAAAAGAAAGAAACATGCATGATATTGTTGTTTTGGTTGTGTTTGTTTTCTTGTTGCAATTGAATGAACTCATCTTGATCACAAAACATGTTGTCTTTCAAAATGTACGTACCATGATTTCTAAAACTGGTAAAAACTTTCGAATTAAAAGTGCATGGATGAGGAGTTTTTCCCATTACGGACCATTGCATGTATCATACTCTTTACATGAGAGAGAGATACGTTAACTTGGCTTCCATGTTTCGAGTTTTTTTCTTATATGGTAAAGTATTACTTTTTTTTCCAAACGTGCTTCCTTTGTCTCAGGACGAGCAAGGCTGAAGACACTTTCCGCTTTAATGTCAAGAATCTTGACATTCCGGCATGGCTGGTAAAAACGATTTTTTTTTTCATAAGAACCTGTTTTGCATGATCATGAGAAATTAACAATTTAAAAATTTAACGGGACTGATTTAAGAGAGTGGAAATTTAAAAACAGCTTATTAATTGGTTCATATCGTTCTTTGACTTGGGGATTCTTCTCGACAGGTGAAAGAGATTGGAAAAAGAGCTTGTTGCTGAGTCTGATTCTTGGGGAACAACTACCCCCTGACAACTTTCTTGGCACCTCTTCCATCATCTGCGAACTAAGATATGGAACAACCCACAAGCTTGT